CAACTAGGAATAGTCCGATTGGTGGGTTCTACTGTTATGGTTCTTTCCCTTAAATACAGGAACCTTGACTTTTTTCACTCAGTATAATGCAGAATATGAGTGGATTGATTGACGAAGCAGCTTCCAGTCTATATGACTTAAGAATATAAAGTGGTCGTTCATAAACACACATCCTCGTCTTTTCGATTTCATATACACATCCTTAGTTGGTAATCCGTTACCTGTGACTTATTTAGCGGATCTTTGTGAATGACAGTGGAAATTTGCACTTATAGTGAGAGTACGTAATGTGCGTCTGTCTATTATTAAACTCCTTTTAATCAGTGATGTTATTTCCTGTCAATAAATGTCTTCAGCCATGTATCGTTCTTTAATGTAGTCGACCTCAGTCGTTGAGCGTTTTTTAGTGGAACTGAAGGTGGACATAGACTTTTAGAGCTAGGCGGAAAGTGAACAGTTCAGTGACATTTTAAATGGAGCGACGAAAAGGGGAAATTATTCACTATTTTTTCCTCTTTAATAGTTGCTTTGGTGAATATGGTATTTACTACTTAGTTCGTTTATTATTTGTTTAGTCATTTGTTCAGTGTAAATTTTTAAAAACAGCCTAATGCCACTACTTTTTTTGCCTGCTTTATAAACCTTGCAGTTAGAACGATCATGCATGCCAAGAGGCATCCAATGGTAATGCTTTCTTGTGGTTCAGAAAATGGTTCGAATAAAGAAGTACGTCCCACTTTTTTGTTCTTGCTGAATGTTCTCATTAATCTACTGGTGCAGTTCCACTCAGTTGATGTAAATTTTAAAAGAATGTAATGAGGCCTATATATAGTTGCAGCATCTATAATAATATATTGCCGAACCGTGTGAACTTGTTATTATGTTGTAACGTACTTTAAGATCTTCCAAGAATTAGTAGTAAATAGTGAGACAACTAAGTAATGGCGCGGTTAGATATAAAAATACTTGATAACAAGTCATCGGTTGGTAAGGTTGTGGTTATACCTGCTGAGGTGGGTGATGTATCTAAACATCGCATTTGTAGATGCAGGATAAAAGAAAGCTTAGGATGGCTAAGTCAAGTGTTAGCACTAATTTATAGTTTTTAAGTGGTTATTTAAACCGTGTTAGCAGGTTTCTGTTATCTGGTTGTCATTCGTACATCAGTCGGGACCAGTCATTAGAGACTGGGTGGCATGGTCCGAGGTTAGTCTATGGTCCAGATACATTTACTTTGTTTCTAGTATTATTTCATAACGAAGCAAAAGCATATAGTTACAAAATGAATTTGATTCCTTTGGGTGTGATAAAATATCACAGGTATTTTGTATTGTAGTTGGGGAGTCTTTTAAACTAAAGCTGATTTGTCTACTCTGTTTCAATTGTATCTCGAGAGGAAAATATCCTGACGACCACAGTCGCCTTATACCTTGGGTTGAGGCAGATAACGTTTAAGTCAAATGGATTCTGATGTTTTTGTGGATATTGGATCAACATTATTAAATACAGGTTTCAGTGCTAGTGTCATGATGATGAAAACATTTATGAGGCTTTAGGAATGATTTTAGATCAGCGTCGGGATCTTATTGTTAGTAGTTGCGTATTTTATACCCTAGAACTAGGGAAACATTTACTTTTCGAATAAGTTCTGTTAGTTATGTGTACACTTTTGAAATATAAAGGTTTTCTATTTCCCTTATATGGATACTTCATATCCACCGACCCAGGTAAGGCGCCGGACATTCGCTTTTCATCTTTTCAATTTCGTAATCAACACCCCAGTCATGAGAAGGCAGTGATTAGAACTTCCCTGGCGGTGGCTGCATACGCGTGGTCATGTGAGAGCATTTCGAGAAGAGATGACTTCCCATCCTCGACCTTACCAGGGCATTTGGGAGGGAACACATGATTTATCACACGAACTGTGTTGTAAGACAAATGATTTGTCTGGTGTGCATGTGTGCAAGTAGAACTAGAAAAAATACCTAAATAATACTGTAAAAACTAAATAGTTGTGAAAGTTAATATCAAGTGGCTGATTTAACTATGCTCTAACAACTACTTTATGGCAGTGAAACATGGCTGGTAAGAGTAGAGGATATCCGTAGGTTACTAGTATTTGATCATAGGTGTCTTCGAAACATTGCTCGTATATCATAGGACCATCGAGTAAGTAACACAGTTGCTAGGAAACGGGTACTAGGTAAGGATGGCAAATCAATTGATGAAGTAGTGAAACTTCGTCAGTTGAGATGGCTGGGACACGTGTTACGTATGCCCAACGACCGACTGCCTCGACGTGTTATGTTCAGTGGTATAGGAGTAGGTTGGAAGAAAGCTAGGGGCGGCCAAACCAAAACATGGCACAAGTCCATGAAGTCACTGACAAGTGAACTGAGTCATGTTGGTAGGTGTAGACTACCTGGGGACCGCGAGATGACAGCAACCGATGGTTAGAGACCCTGAATGACATGGCTCAAAATCGTTTGCAATGGCGCAGGTGTACCCACTCTTTGTGTTCTCCCAAATTCTAATCTTCTGAATTCTTCATGTCCCTTTTTTCCTCTTTCCAAATTTATTTCACTGTATTATACTCTTTAAATAACATCTCCAAACCCTAATCTTCCCGATTACTGCTTATACTCTTATTACCTCTACCACTACGGGATTTGAATCGACAAGTGCATCTCTGTGCTAATGTGGTGTGGCAACTCGAACTGATGTACGTACGTACGAAGTTCTACGTTGTTACTGACTGACTGAACAAATACTTGCAAATTGTCATCACCAACCTTAGGTAGACGAATATATAAATGCATGCTTTTAGAGACAGTATTTCTAATATACAAACCTCTTACTAAAGTCGACCGGAATAATGCTATCAAATAAAAATAGCAACAAAGTTGTATGTTGGATACAATGAAAGTCCGAAAATGCTTGGGTTAATATCTACATTGAAATTTTTCTCACATTCGCCTGTGATTGATTGGTATACAGTAAGATAAGCTTATCAGACGATATTTTTTACTTGGAAACTTGTATCCGTTTCTGAAATATCAACTTGGGAATCTAATTAACATACTTAAAGCCGCTTTTCTCGTAACGTCACCTGGGCGTTAGTTGACAAGTTTATTGTGCTGTACTTAGTCTACAACTTCTTCATGTTGTTGTCTGCCTGTGTGAAATGCTTCGAAAATCCTTTGGATTGCAACAATTCTAGTCACAACAGTAGCTTAAATCGTTATCAGCATTTTTCTTTACTCAAATGCGAAATCACTAAATTCACTTTTTTGGGCCTATGTTTCTTTTACACAGAACTGTACTCATCCAAAACCATTTAGTTTTGAAGATCGTGAATTATCGTTGATAAAACGCAGAAACGAACGTATGGTTCAAGCAGAGTTAAATGCTAAGGTGCTTGCAAATTCATTCAAAGCTCAACCTATGAGGGTTGGATCACCTGATCGTCTACCTCCACGTGTTGTTCATTCTCCAGTTCATCCAATCTCATTCCACTCATTCACGGAAGAAAGGATAGCACTTCACAAAAGCAAAAGAGAGGTTGGTTTAGATTTACAATCCTCATTATACATGAACGAATACCACTCTTCATTTTTTTATTCTAAACCGAAGGCTTTCGGTATTGTGTTATCCAATCAAATTATTCAATGAAAAGTTTCTAAGTGAACACATTTGCATTCTACTATAATAGAATGACCAGTCCTTACTACTCGAAACGTTGAATAGGAGTACATATTCTAGATCCTCGGTGCCCCCAAATGCCTTGATACGGCCGAGAGTGGGGAGAGTCCGCTCTTCCTATCGAAATGCTCTCACATGGCCACGCGTATATAGCCTGTGCCAGGGAAGTCCTATTCATCGACTTCTCGTGGCGGGAGTGTTGTTTACGAAACTGAGAGGACGAAAAGTAAATGTCCGGGGCTTTAACCGGGTTGGTGGACACGGAGAGTCCACCTAGGGGAGTTGGAAAACCCTGATTTCAAACCAGTGGTGTACATGGGCTCCAGTATCCTGTGGGAACAAATGGCGTACGAACCTATTGTTGGTCACCGGCTTCCATGGGACTGCATCTCCTTACTATGCTCCACTGCCTTGTGGGTTAAACCTTTAAGTCGAAGGCTCCATGTGTGGCCCCCTGAGAAAACCACCTGCTTCAGTTTGGGCACCCGGGCAGTATCACAGCCCTCACATATATCAAATTAGATTTGTGTGGCGCATATGTATTTGGTGCCTCCTTGTATCAATATCTATGTATTAAAATAAATAAATAAAATCCCCGGTGATTTAGACTTAATTATTTATTGGTATGAATTCCGAGAATTAATCGCCGTTTACCTGTAACACTTTCTTACAAAACATACATGGTCACTGATATCCGATAAGGAGCAATATTAGAAAATACAAGAAACTTTCGGATATAGTTACATTCACTTGATGTGTAAAGACCTTTCTGTATTCATGTTTCTTTAACGATTGGCTTATTTTTCGAAGACCAGTTGTTGTAAATAAGCTAACCTTCATTTATCGTTGAAATTTGACATCACACAGTTTTCTTTATATTTAGTTCACTTTTTTCACTATCTTAGACTAGTACATCCACTGAGGAGTCCATAATTACAAGAGGAAGAACCAAATCCCCATCAGTCATTTACCAAACACCGTTTATTCCGACTTTTCCAGAGCGTTCTCCAATAGTTGCTGTCTCCCCTAAACTAGCCACCGTGGAGCGCGCGATGTCAAGGTCGAAATATGACGATGAAGCCAAAAAGAGAAGAGATATTCTTCAGCAACAATCGGAACTCATTAGACTTAAAAGAATGGAGGACGAGGCCAATGAAATAAGACAGATTCGCAAAGAATCTGTACACAAACCGGAACCGATAAGGCGGTATAAAACGATCAAATCTCCCACGCGCAAACCCCCAACGGTACCCAAATCCCCGGTGCTATCAACTTTACGAAATAGAATATCTAAACAATGATATTTGATTGACTCCTTGTATTTATTGTACAGAAACCATTCTCATTTACTCAAATGATGTACATAATAGAAATTCAAATTTTTAAATGTATTAACCATTGCTTGAAATAAGTCTTGATTGTGGTACCTAGAGGTATTTGTTCATGGCTATTTGCACAGTGCAACCAGTGTTTCAAAAACGTTACCCTGATGTTCTTTTAGATATCGTTCTGCCATCAATTTGCTAATTTCGAGTTCTTGACACTGTAAACGAAAAAAACAAGATCTAACGTGCAATCGAGATACACAGAATTACATCTTAAAAGGGGTTGCCAGTCAAAGCAACCCATTCTTAAGTAATATCTTGCTATATTTATACATCCATTCCATGGGAACCTATTGTTTAGTTATTGCTACGACATTAGAAGTATCCCTATTAGACCGTGTCAGTTTCATTTCACGTAACAATCGCTTCGACTAAGGTGAGTCTCTGCGTCTTACAAAACAACGATAATAAACAAAAATGTGAGGAAACAGTAAACATAGGTGGTAAAGTGCATCTTTGTGGTCCACCTTAGGCTTCATCCCTCGAGACCACCAGTTATTTGTTTCTGGACTGAAGATTAATTGGGAAACTCATCGATTACTTGCTGCAAATGTCAGACAGACAATCACGAGCTTCGCTGGTTAGTATCAACTTCTTCGCTGACCAACATTAGTTTATGTACATGGTAGTCTGGAAGACAACACACTTGTAACGCTCTAAATAACGATGCGGAAATGAAAACGACTAACGGAAAACTATGTTAAAACAACTGAGCAGTCGTGTCAAAGAGTAAGCTATATTTGACGTGTATAACGAAAGTCTGTAAGCTGCATATAGCAGTTCGGGCGAATCCAGTGTGTTGCACGTGTTTAGTTCAATCAGGAAAGGAGACAGCGTCGCCGTACATATTTAATTCATTTATTTATATCTGCAGGGCAATAAAGGGTTAAGGAATAAAACGGAACGAAATCGGTCAGGATAACGGAGAACTCGCTCATTAACGTAATGGCAAACACTGCGACCTGCAGCTTTCCCTAGGTTAGTACTACAATATTTGCAACCATTGAGTAGGTCCGGCCGATATTCTGTGACACTCGTTTGCTTAGCCTTAACCTATCGAACTCGATCCATATTAGCTTGTGAAGTGTTTGCCCTTTCTTGTTCTCATAATACCAGTTGACCATCTATGACTTTCCTAACCATAGATAATCACAACATTTCTGATACATAAGTTTGTAGAATTAGAACTCATAAGCTTAGGTTTTGATCCAATATTAGACCTTGGATGCAGATAAATAGATAACACCCTATGCAGAATGTGTATTTAGGCTTAGGAGCAAAACATTTAAATCATTTTGACGGCGTAGCTGGACACAATTTACGGCCACTCCTACAGGAAAATGTCTGACAAGATCACTGATTATAAGTTTCTCGACAAACCGCATGTGTATTAAAGGGTGAAGATATACTCCCGTGTGGGTTAGGTTCAGTATTATTCATTAGTACTTTGAGTAGGCCTCACATCTATACACTATTTAGTTGCATTGTAAGATGGAAGTAGTTAGTAGGTATATACATGCATCCATGCTCCTTCGTTCGTCGAGAATTTCAGTGCAATGCATTAGATTTCCACCTTCTGTACAGAAAAAAAAACACTCAGAACTGGTAGTTTCGGTGTATGGTTTGATTGACATCTACTTTTGATACAGTCAACGGAAACCAAATAATATAAAAAAGTAGGGTGAAATGGAAATAATACTGACGTGAGTATGTGCCTAATCTTCCGATTTTAGGGTTTTTGTGCCATTTTTTTATATCGGCTTCTACAAAACACAAAAATCTTCCCCAAAATAAGGAGATTGTGTGGTATAGTTATTACCGTCCTAATCTAGCTAAAAATCCAACTTGCCTTGAGTTAGTATTCTTGAAGGTAGTTAAGATTACCGATGATATGTAAACTGTCTAAAAGTGTGCTAAATTTAAGTTTCGACATCGAAAACATCAGTCAAAAACTACTACGAATTTTGCAGTAAACATTTACAAATAAGACATAAATAGAGCGCAGATACGTAGAAGTATATACGACCTACAATGAGTGACACGTCTTCATTTTTGACTTTAATCTTTAACATTTGTTTTTGTTTCTGAGCTTTGTCAGCGGCAACAGCATCGCCAGCTGTATCTGACACGGCTTTGACTGCATCTAGGCCAACACTAAGCTCCTTCTCTTCAAAGTAATCAGTAACACGTTCCAGATCTGCTGCACCACGCTCATCGTGTGTTGTAGGCTTCTTAGGCTTTTCATTGTCATCTTGATCCTCCGTCATGAGTAACTTCTTAGTAGTTGACCTACAAAAGTCAGTGAGGAACGCAACCACAAGGTTATTCAGTGGGAAGTCAAAACAAACATATTCACTAGTTTGAACCAAATAGCGAAACCCTTCGTCCGAATGACTTCTATGTCAAGAGCTAAGAGTCATCAATTCCTTTAGATGGTGGCATGGTCAAAAAGGTTGTAGATGGAATATAAGAGTTTTTCTTATAACAAACTTCAGTGTCTTGCAGCATTGGATCACCGTTGGATTTGCAACTGTCCTGGGTTCCAGACAATATATCAGGTTCCATCTTGAAGAAATCATGGGAATTCATTAAAGCCATTGAGTGAATTTCATGGGATGACTACCCGTAAGGGGTAGAAAGTGTGCCGATAGTCCAATTAACTGTTTTGTGCTTCTAATTTTCCGGCTGTTTCTCTGGCGTCTGGGTTGAAGCTGGATTGAAGAAGGTATTCTAGAAGGTTCTAAAGGGCGTTTTTGATTCCCTAAGTCACTAAGTGGTCGACCATCATTCATTTATATTCTTAAAGAGATCGAGTAATATAAACCGTTCCTCAGTTGTGCTCTGAACTGACTCCACAAACTAGTTTCGGAATTCACCTTTGAGTGAGCTTAAAAGTACGCTTATTAATTTTAGATGAAGAAGGAAAAACTTTATTTCGGTATTGTAAACGAGGCCGAATAGAACTAAATATGTCACAGGTATTCGGAGTTTGACAACACATTTACGCGTAACACCTTTATGACCGGAGTGTGCCAATCCAGTCAAATTAGAGGTCAGAAATGAAGAAGTTAGAAGATATATTTGAAAGGTTACCGATATATCGGTGAGCATTTAATCTAAGTTGGTTAGCAGTTGCAAGGAGTGCGTAGCACGTCATATCCACTCGTGATCTGATGCGGATGGATGACCGAGAGCCTTCAGCTAGATGTGTAGCGTGGCGTCGAGTTGATGTTAACTATGAACACCGCTACAAAGAAACACGTGCCAAATGAATCAGAAGGCGAGGGTTGGACGTAACCAAATAGATCCATAAAATCCCCGAGAAGCCAAATATCAGAAGGCAATTAATGGACCAAGTCGATGTTTATTTGCTGGCGATCTCGTGGCATCGAAAGGATACCGAGATCGTGCCAGGATACAAGCTTGGTTACAGAACGTAACCGAATCCGCGCGAAGTTACAATCAAAGTGTAAGTAAGAGAATGGAAGCACAAAATAGCTGTCATTAGCACAGTCAAACAAAAGCACATTAAAACAAACACTGGTACAGTTGGTTATAATAATAATTGTTTTTATTAAACCAATCGTGTTCTCGTGATAAACGTGAGTCACTAGAGATGTGTTGATTAAGACTAATGCGATGAGCATCGAATTTCGAAGAACTGATAATTTTTGGGATTTATATACTGCTACAAAACTATTAAAAACTTAGTAGAAGGTCATGCTGGCACTCTTTATCGCAAATGCACTCAAAATTTGTCGCTGAAACTCTGAGTTGAAAGGCAGTTTGTTTCAGTTAGCAAAGTATTTCGAGTCACGCGGAATTAAGACATTTAGATGTCTTTCGACTGATGTTTCTTCTAGGAGAGCATTGTGTTAGTTGTGTGCATCGTATAAGCTATGTCTCAGATGGACTACTTTTCACCTTGAAAAGATGATAATTGGTCCGCTGTTAATCATCCAAATTCTAAGTCAAGATAAGTTCTTCTAGATGATAACTTATCATTCTGGATCCAAACTTTGATTCAATATGAAACACATCTTAAGAAATTGAGGTCGTCGACATAGTCTTCGACTTTTAAATTAAGCCGAGCATCTACCGTCAAATATTTCGGGTAAATACTGGCGTCTCCCATTTCATATTTCTAATGGTTCGAATACGGGCGCAAAAGCACCTACTTAGTTGATATTTGCAAACATTCACGTGATCAGGCGTATCTCTCATTGGTAATGGTTTTATTGGAACTTGGAAGGAATATACATGGACACCCTAAATCCTGAACTGTGATATAACTGCAACATTGAAATGAGATGGTCTGTCTGGTCGGAACATTCTTAGGCATGTTCTATTGACGTGAGGTCTCACTATAATGTCTGCACCACTCATCTTTGCTTCAAGATGAAAACTATTAAGCAAGGTCAAAAATTGCAAACAGAGCGTATGATTGTAAAAATCCTGCACAAGAGATAACATTGAATAGCAGGTCTCCGAATAAAACCATTTACCCAGACTAAGATACTGAAGTAACAGTTAGAGATACTGATGTTAGTTGTGGGATATCAATCATGTGCTTTGTTCATACGGTAATACTGTAGCTAGAAATAGAACATAGGCAAAACATTGAGTCACAAAAATTAACTGATAGAACTGGTAGAGTGCTCATACCACCAATCGTTCAAACAGAATAAAAGTTTCAACAACAATGGGTTACGGAGAAGCCTGACTAAGAGTAGGGAAGAGTTTATTTATAGGATGACAAACAATCACAGAGGTATTCGGCAGAATAATAAATTTTTTGATGGCGATATTGCATACAAATAGGACAGTTTACCTCAGCTTGCCTCTTGGAAATATTGATCAATCACTTAAAACCATTAGACATACCAACATAAGTGACTAAACTTAAAATTTGTTGTAAAACCTCTCATTCCTACCCATTATTTTTAAGCTTGTGAGGAACCTTTTTGAAATAAATTGTAACTACTTTTGTACATTAATCACTTTAACTTGTTCACCTTGAGAAGTATCTAAGCCTGCAGACATGTAATTTTGAAAAATGTATTCCAAGCAGTCTGCTTCTGTCCTAAACTTTATGAGCATTCAGTGGTTAGTCGCTTTAAACTGGTTCGTGTTGGGTTTCTGGGTCAAAGTATTTGATGTCTCCGTTTATAACGATCGCAATTGGAGGGTGATAATTGAACTAATCTATATCAACTCGATTCGATAAGTAGAAACTGCTTCCTGTACTCGAGTAGAACTAAAACTCGCTCATGGTTCACTTCGAAATGTATATGAAACAGTCAGTTCATAAAGTTTGTTTAAAATGGTTATAATAAAACCCTTCAGAGTGTTCATGCGGGACTCCTAAATTTCTGTAGTTTTAGGTGGAATTTCGTTGTTCTCTATCTGGTATATCCTTACGTGAATGCCGTGTAGTCAGTGACTTTGATCCTTTCCCTCTCTGACTTGATATTCAGGCCTTTTCTCCTTATTAGGTAAGGTTGTATTTAATGGGGTTAGTGAAAGTACAAATAGTTGTTTTGCCGCCTTCAGTGATATCCTCACTGTCAAACGACCGATCTTCGAAGGTAGAAGTACATTCGTCATTAAGTGGTGATTCGTCTACATTTCTGTTCAGTCTTGATGTTCAGCACACACCTACAATGTTTACACAATTAAGAATATTTGTGCTACTGCAATACGAGCGGTTGCATCACGCGAACGGAAAAAGGCAACTGGCACATAGCACATCAATAATTAGCCGTTAACACAGGTGGAAGACAGATCACAGAAAAACCTGATATTCGAAGTAGAATAAGACAAAGGGAATTGTTGTAGCTCTAAATATATGGTAACGAAAGCATGACTCCCAGGAATACAGAGATTTTGTGGGCTAAAAGCGATGGCAAAGGTCGTGCGGAAGACTTAATTTTAAAAAAACATCTGTAGTTATTTTTTCTGAAAGAATTTTAGCATCATGAACAAAAGTTCGGTGATCTTGTGATCTATAGCAGGTCACATGCAATTGAGTTTGTTCACTTATAATTTAGTTGAACCCTTTTGTTAACTTATTTAACGGACATAGTTACCCGTACAATAACAACTTACGTATATCATTGTACCTCTCTTATTGTTTTACTTGTATGAATATGTATGCTTGAGCATTGTTTACTGCCTGCTCATATATTCACTCTGCTAGATTTAGTATTAGTCTCTTAATTGATTCGATGATTCACTCATTTTACTATACATATATATGTATATTTTAATCCCGTTCATTGACTCTCTGACTCACTCATTCGACTCGCACGTTCACTCACTTGCCTGCTTGCTTTTCGGCACTACTATGTCATGCTTGCTTAGTGTATCTGTAAATCCAGATATCTGTGTGGTCCCATAATAAACGTAATCAGCACTTCGTATTCGCCTTTTGATTAATACACCGTTTGGGTATTATCTGGTGACGGTTATTAGGACTAACTATATACGACGTTTAAGGATTATATTGAATACTGACCACTACAGATAACCCTAGCGATTTCATAGTTATTTCACTAACTCTATATGTTCCTTTGAGAGAATACCCAGGTAATTAACAGTGTAATCAGTGGATTAATTGTTGAAATTAAGAAATTGCTGCTTAGTTAAAGTGATTGGTCAGCAAGACTCACACAATATTAGACTCTATCAGCAAAATTAGATGAGCAAAGGACAAAGTGTTCGAATAATTCAGAAGGGATATGATTTTCATCCTCGTAAATAATATAATTATTAACTTTTTAAATCAATTTCTCCTTCCTTCTTAGGATGAAAAACTTTAGAAATTTAGACTCAGTTAAAGCACATCGACTCCCTTGAGTCATCCAGTCAAATACCTTACTAAAACTTATGTCAAAAATCAACTTAACTTACCTATAGTTTTCTGGTTAAATTCTGAAAATTGACAGACAAAAACGATCGTATCGAACTTAAATGATTTTTAGGATGAGGATGTGAAGTTTATTATTACTTCGAGGAAAGTAATAAAGCACGTGATGTTTGAACTTATTTAAGTAGCTTGATCGGTTTCCAAATGGAATTATACTTGTTGGAAGAAATATACAAATCTAAGGTATAGTCTCGTGTGTATATGAGTCAAATTCATTTATTTATACCTCTATAAGACTGAATGTCCTGTAGACAGGTTTCCAACCCTACCCCTGCATTATAGCCATCGTCGGTTCGTGGAAAAAAGCTTAACTTTAATTCAGAACCCTAAACCTTGACCTCAACTCTTATTTGCAATTCTTAAATCAAATTCCAACTCCTGACCTTAATTCCTAACCTTAAACTTTTAAGTGAATTGAATACATATTGTATTCCTTCATAAAGTATCATGAATCATTTTGTTCACAAGGCAAATGTTCACAGATTGCAAAA